CTCGCTTGCTGAGGTGTTCCAGCGAGTGTCTCTGTAGATCTTAGAAAACTATTCCTTGATTTAAGTCGTTGGAGTGCTGGCTAATATACAAACAGGGGACGGGCCAGGTGTTCTTATTAATTTTGAGTCTGTACCCCATGTGCTTTTAGTAAGTTTCCACAGGATGTTATTGTTGTATGTCAGCTTGTTCAGCCTGTAATTGTGTCTTATATTTGTGCTGGGAATGGGGATGATGTTCCTCATGGTGGTGGGCCTGGGTCCATTGGCAATGGGGATGAAAGCTTGCCCAAGCCTGAGTTAAGCTCAGATGAGAGGCCCGAGCTGTCTCAGGAAGATTCATAAGGTCACATTCCTGGGAGAGATCCTTCACAGACTTTCTCAGAGCAGCTGTCTGAAGATGTTTTGTCAGTTGCAAAAGCTAATGGGAGTCAAGTTAATGAGAGTGTAGATAGAAGGCAAGGCTTCCGTAAACAGAGTGCCCAGGTGCAAAGAAGATCCATTTGTTTACAGGAAAAGAGAGATTTTTAAAAGCCTTTATCTGGTGGTAAGGTCAAAAGAAATGCTTTCCTTTCGGTTTTGGGATCTGGAAAAGCCTTATATTGATTCATGGGAAAGAGTTGCCTCAGTTGGGTCAATGTTGGAATTTCATGACGGTCTTGATTTCAAGTGTTCTTAGTTTCATGTACCAAGTTTTTGCCAAGCTCCTGATTTGTCTATTGGATTTTTCATGCTGCCCTATTTCACGGATTCTTGTGCTTGTTTCATGGATTTTTATAGCTATGGATCTTGTTTTGCCTTGAAGCTCTTGAACTAACCTTGGTTTTGGAACTTTACTGTTTTTGCTAATTTTATTGCTTTGCCTACTTATATTCTTCAATAAACTGCTTGCTGATTTTACCAAGCTGGTGTAGTGTTTAAGGCCAGAGGTGTTCCTGCTCTGGTATACAACAGTTATTGCATGCAGCTACTTTGTGCTTGATGTTCGCACAGATTTTCCTAAATGTTAGCATTTGGTCTAAGGTGACACCAAGATATTTAGGGTGGGAACAGTGTTCAAGCACTTGGCCTTTGCAAGTAACCTTCAGTTTCCTGTTGGCTTCACGATTACATGGGTGGAAAGCACACACTTGTATCTTGGCAGGGTTAGGCTTTAGGTGGTTATCTTTGAAGTAGCTGGAGAGATATTTCAGGGCATTAGTAAGTTCGGTTTCAACTGTTTCAAAGTCTTTTGCTTGTGTTGTTAGGCCAAGGTCATCAGCATATATAAAGCTATTTGTGAGTGGTAGCTGTGGTTGATCATTAATAAAGATCTTAAACAAGGTTGGTGTAAGGACATTCTTTTGCCGCCTCAATCTACTTTTCCGGCCTTCAAACTCCACATGGGAGCTGCGGTTTTCTAGGAGGGTCTGGATGGTTTTTGTAAAATCGTAGTCTCAGGTGGTATGGTAGACCATGTGCAGCAATTTCCTATGTTGCACCTTGCCGTATGGTCCGCAAAACTGTTCCCATAATGCAACCTTTCTCATAGCCTTCCTCAATATACTTGATCAGGTTAAGAATTTGAGCTATACACTTATTCCCTGATCTGAAGCCTGCTTGTTGTGAAATAAGCTGGGGTTCAATAACAGGACTTAGTCGATCTAATAGCTTCCTTTCGTATATTTTATAGAGATGATGTAAGAGAGAGATTGCAGTCGTTCTTGACGTTGGAGGCATCTTTACCAGGTTTTTAAATAGCAATAATCTTAGTTTTCCTCCATTGTCTGAGAATCTGTTTGTGTGCCAACCATTTCTTGTAAAAATTCAAAAGCCAGTTTAATTTGCTCCATCATTAGGTCATCTAAGCCGGGTGCTTTACCAGTTTTGCATCATTTAATAGCTTTTCTGGGTTCTTTCAGGTTTAGGGGAGGTGATTACTGGTGGGTTTCAAGTTCTGGCACCCTGTTGATTTTCAGCTTTACTCTGTTGCAGTTGGTTTCCCCATTCTGAATTGGCTGGTATGCTATCTGGTCTGGTGTTACGTTTGCATGTCCACAGTTGATCAGAGGATCATTATCCAGGCACCTCAACAACTGCCAGGCTCTATGACTACTCTTGGACATATCAAGAATCTCAAGCAGCTCTATCTAGCGGTCTTTCTTAGCATTAGCTATGGCTGTAGATAATTTGTGGCCTGCTGCTATAGTTTCATCACTGTATGGATTATCTTGAAATAATCTGAGGTATTCCTCAGATGACGATTGTGATAATTAGTTGGGGGCGTAAAATGAAAATCAGCCCCGGGTGGTTTATAGAGTGAAGATGCAATGCAGCTATCAAGTTCCACAGATAAGATTTCAATGTTGTTCACTTGTGTGAGAAGTTGTAGAAATTGCTACACCAAATCGTACAAAAATGGCACTACCATATTGTCTGTGAGGTTGCTCCACTTCCAGTTGCATTCTGAGGGTTTTTGGTCTTCTCGTTATAATGTCTCTGTGTCAAGAACATCTGGTAAATAAAGAAGGCTGAAGAAATCCAACACCTGGCAGATACCCATGATGCTCAGGGATTTTTCAAAGCCACAATGGTCATCTATGGACCAAGAAACCATGGGATACAGCCTCTCCGCTCATCAGATGGAACCAAACTTCTGAAGGACAAAAAAATCAAAAAAAGCCTCCTGAACCGTACCTCCAATGTGGCCGAAGAGGTCCTCTCACAAATCCCGCAACAACAAACCAGAGATGAGCTTGCAGCACTGCCTAGTTTGGAAGAAGTCAGCAATGCCATCAGCCAACAAAAGAATAACAAAGCCAGCGGACCGGATGGTATCCCTGCTGAAATCTTTAAAGAGGGAGGACCTGAGCTGACACAACTCCACCAGCTCATAGAAGAAGTGTGGGTGACGGAGAAAATCCCAGCAGATTTCAAGGATGCCACCATCATCACCCTCTTCAAAAAAGGAGAAAGAACAGACTGCGGAAACTATCGAGGTGTCTCCCTTCTAACCTCTGCTGGGAAAATCCTCACAAGAATCTTTGCAAACCACCTTCTGCCCCTCTCAGAAGACACCCTCCCAGAATCCCAGAACGGCTTCCGCCCCTCCAGAGGAACCGTGGACATGATCTTCACTGCACGACAGCTCCAAGAAAAATACAGGGAACAAAACCAGTCTCTGTACATGGCATTCATTGACCTTGCAAAGGCATTTGACACAGTGAATCGGAGTGCTCTCTGGACCATTCTTCAAAAATTGGATGCTCTAACAAATTTGTGAACATCCTGCGGCTCCTCCATGATGACATGATGGCAACAGTTTTGGACAGCTACGGCTCCCAAAATGACCCATTTAAGGTGGAATCAGGTGTTAAGCAGGAATGTATCATTGCTCCAACTTTATTTTCCATCTTCATCGCTATGATACTTCATCTTGTTGATGGGAAACTTCCCACCGGAGTGGGAAGTAATCATCTATGGCAATCTATGACAGATAATCGGTAATCATCTATGGCAATCTATGACAGATGGCAAGCTATTTAACCTCAGCAGACTGAAAGCCAAAACCAAGGTCACAACAACATCTGTTATAGAACTCCAGTATGCTGATGACAACGTTGTCTGTGTGCATTCAGAAGAAGACCTACAAGCCACCTTCGCAGAAGCAGACGAGAAGCTCGGCCTGTCATTGAACATCGACAAAACCAAAATGCTCTTCCAGTAGTCACCAGCCAATCCCTCTCCAACACCAGAAATAAAGCTTAATGGTATAACATTAGAAAATGTTGATCATTTCCGCTACCTTGGCAGCCACCTCTCCACAAAAGTCAACATTGACATTGAAATACAACACTACCTGAGCTCTGCGAGTGCAGCTTTTTTCCAAATGAAGCAGAGAGTGTATGAGGACATCCGTAGGGATACCAAAGTGCTTGTTTATAAAGCTTTTGTCCTCCCAACCCTGCTATATGCCTGCGAAACGTGGACTGTCTACAGACGTCACATGCAACTCCTGGAATGATTCCATCAGCGCTGCCTTCGAAGAATCCTGCAAATCTCTTGGGAAGATAAGCAGACAAATGTCAGCGTGCTGGAAGAAGCAAAGATCATCAGCATTGAAGCGATGGTCCTCCGCCATCAACTCCGCTGGACTGGCCACGTTGTCCGGATGCCCGACCACCATCTCCCAAAGCAGTTGCTCTACTCTGAACTCAAGACTGGAAAACTGAATGTTGGTGGGCAGGAAAAGAGATTTAAAGACGGGCTCAAAGCCAACCTTAAGAACTCTGGCATAGACACAGAGAACTAGGAAACCCTACCCTTGTGCGCTCCCGCTGGAGGTCAGCTGTGACCAGCAGTGCTGTGGAGTTTGAAGAGGCACGAATGGAAGGCGAAAGGAAGAAACGTGCCAAGAGGAAAGTGCATCAAGCCAACCCCGACCAGGACCGCCTTCCACCTGGAAACCAATGCCCTCTCTGTGGGAGAAGATGCAAGTCAAGAATAGGGCTCCATAGTCACCAACAGATCTTGGAAGACTATCCTACTTGGACAACGAGGGATCACCTAACTGAGAAAGTCTGTGTGTGTGTTTCCTGTATACATTAAATATCACAGGAAATGTCCTAGGACGTTTTGGCCAGTAGTTCTTCCTTAGCAAGTGACAAACCTTTGATATTAATAGACATAATAGTTTGAAGTGGTCTTGTTAGATGGTGTTAGTAAACTCCTTGTTCTTTACTGATCAATCTACGTGGAATATTTTCTTTCTCTGGCAAGACAGTGTGTGGTCTCTTAAAAATGTGAACGATGTGTGGTTTTCATTCTGCCTCAGACTGTTGCCGTTCGCCCATTTGTAGAGGAAAGAAACACACCTCCAGGTTAAAAAAAATGTTGTAAATAAATGCTTTGGGATTGGAAAGATTAGCCGTTTACTAGAAACGTTGCCCAGGGGACGCCCAACTGTATTTACTCAGTTTTCGAGGAGGCTCTTTCAGTGTCCCCTATTTAATACTGGTTACCAGATTTTGTTCATTTTCATGGTTTTTACTATCAGAAGAGAAATTTTCTGATTAGAGAAATGTATTTTCTTTCTCTTTCAGCTCCCAGTCTCTTTTGAGGAAGTGGCCGAATATTTGACCAAGGAGGTTTGGGATCTCCTGGATCAGGCCCACAGGGTTCTAGACAAAGACATTTGAATTGAAGATGATGTGCAATAAGCATTTTTTTTCATCTTTAATGGATAGAGAAATCTGTGGATGATGCAGTGAAATTGACCAAAGGACACTTTTGGCTGAGAGGATCTCCAGCGACAGCCTCGGTTTCTGTGTTCGGCCTCCTAATTGGATCTTCTTTCTCAAGCAGGTAAAGAGCAGCGGAAGGTGAATTTTGAGGAGTCATTGGAAACAGCCAAGGTTGTTGTGGACAAGAAACGGACTGAGAGGGCAAAAGGGAAACCAAGGAAAAAACAGGAAGAAGAACTTTTTTGCTTCTCAGAAGACTATTGGTGAACCTCTTAGCTTCCATCCCCAGAAGTCTACAAAGAATAAGTTGTCCTGTCTCTGGAAACATATTTCAATATAAATGACATTGAAACGTACATTGGAGATTCCATGCAAGATAGAAACCACATGAAAACATGCAAAGTGGAAAGAACGACAGTGGAGCTGAAGGTCTTCATGCACATCAAATGTCCAACATGCAGGAGAAACCATACAAATGTGTGACATGTGGAAAGGGCTTCAGTCAGAAAAAATATCTTGACGCGCATCAAAAAACCCATGAGAAACAATACAAATGCATGGACTGTGGGAAAGGCTTCACTAATGTTCACCAACTACATTCGCATCAAAGTATCCACACAGGGGAGAAGCCACATGAGTGCATTAAATGTGGGAAAACCTTCTCTCATAAGAACTCATTAAATGTACATCTAAGAACCCACACAGGGGAGAAACCATACAAATGTACAGAGTGTGGAAAGTGCTTTGCTGAAAGTTCACAACTGTGTCGCCATCAGAGAACCCACACAGGGGAGAAACCATACAAATGTACGGAATGTGGGAAGAGCTTTGCTCAAAGTTCAAAATTGCGTTCACATGAAAGAACCCATACAGGGGAGAAACCATATCCATGCATGGAATGTGGGAAGAGCTTTAGACAGTCGTCAGATTTACATGCACATGAAAGAACACACACGGGGGAGAAACCCTATAAATGCATGGAATGTGGGAAGAGCTTCTCTAATGCTGGAAATCTGCAGTCCCATCAAAAGATCCATTCAGAGGAGAAACCCTATGAATGCATGGAATGTGGGAAGACATTTAGACATCGGGCACAATTACAGACACATGAAAAAACCCACACAGGGGAGAAACCATATCAGTGCATGGAATGTGGGAAGAGTTTCTCTAATACTGGAAGTCTGCGGACCCATCAAAATATCCATTCAGAGGAGAAACCGTATGAATGCATGGAATGTGGGAAGAGCTTTAGACTTCGGGTACAGTTACAGAGACACGAAAGAACGCACACAGGGGAGAAACCATATCAATGCATGGAATGTGGGAGGAGCTTTTGTTGGCCGTCAAATTTACGCAGACATAAAAGAACACACACAGGGGAGAAACCATACAAATGCATGGACTGTGGAAAGAGCTTCTCTGATTACGGAGGTCTATGGTCCCATAAAAAGATCCATGGAAAGGAGAAACAATATAAATGCATGGAATGTGGAAAGACATTTCGTTTCAGTGCCAATCTCAGTATCCATCAGAGAACCCACACGGGAGAGAAGCCATATAAATGCATGGAATGTGGGAAGAGCTTCTCTCAAAATTTAAGTCTGCGTACCCATCAAACAATGCACACAGCTGAGAAATCGTACAAATGCACGGAATGCGGAAAGAGTTTCAGACAGAGAGCTCATCTACGTACCCATCTGAGAACCCATACTGGGGAGAAACGATATGAATGCATGGAATGTGGAAAGAAATTCACTAGTAGTAGTACATGTACTGTCCATCAACGAACTCATACAGGGGGAAAGCCATATACATGCATGGAATGTGGAAAGAGCTTTAATCAATCGTCAATTTTAAAGAGACATGAAAAAACACACACGGGGGAGAAACCATATAAATGCAAGGAATGCGGGAAGAGCTTCTCTAATAATTCAGGTCTGCGTAACCATCAAACAATTCACACAGCTAAGAAATCGTACAAATGCACGGAATGTGGAAAGACTTTCAGACAGGGAGCTCATCTACGTACCCATCAGAGAACCCATACAGGGGAGAAGCCATATCCATGCCTGGAATGTGGAAAGAGCTTCGGGTACAGCAGTCATCTGCGTGTCCATCAAAGGATCCACACAGGGGAGAAACCGTATAAATGTGTGGAATGTGGGAAGGCTTTCAGACAGGCAGATGCTTTACGTCGACATCAAAGAGCCCACATAGGGGAGTAACCATGTAAATGCATGGAATGTGGAATATCATCACTCATGGTTACATTTACAACAATTTAATAGCAAGTTTTTTTAATCTTCTCAAATAAACTAGAAGATTTTTGAGCAAATTCTTTAGAATCATAGAATCAAAGAGTTGGAAGAGACCTCCTGGGCCATCCAGTCCAACCCCCTGCCAAGAAGCAGGAATATTGCATTCAAATCACCCCTGACAGATGGCCATCCAGCCTCTGCTTAAAAGCTTCCAAAGAAGGAGCCTCCACCACACTCCGGGGCAGAGAGTTCCACTGCTGAACGGCTCTCACAGTCAGGAAGTTCTTCCTAATGAAGTTCTTCCTTTAGCTAAGAAACCGCTCCCTTTTCTGGATTGCAGCAACAAGACTGCTCTGTAACTGTTGGAGGGGAGAGTGCACCTGGAGTTTAAAAACACTGGGTTGTTGTAGGTTTTTTCGGGCTATATGGCCATGTTCTAGAGGCATTCTCTCCTGACGTTTCACCTGCATCTGTGGCAAGCATCCTGACAACAACCCAGAGATTCCGGCCATGAAAGCCTTCAACAACACATTGAACATCTCTACGGGGAGAAACTGTTCCAAGACACACAAAAACTAAGGACCAGGAAAGCACATCTACTGTGCTTCCTGACTTTCCTTCTATGCTGCGGAGACACAGATACCATCCCACAATTTCTCGCAGCCAAAAGGACTTTCAAAATGCCACAGGCTCACCGGATCTTTGACCGCCTAGAACGCAACCACTTACGAGAGAGAATTCACACCATCCTCAAAGAACTTGCAAACACAGACAAGGAACAGCACCTCCATAGCAACATCAGCCAGAAGATGAATTCCCAGGACTGGGACAAAATAGACAACCTCTTCACAACCTCTGAGGATGCTTGCCATAGATGCAGGCGAAACGTCAGGAGAGAATGCCTCTAGAACATGGCCATTTAGCCTGAAAAAACCTACAACAACCCAGTGATTCCGGCCATGAAAGCCTTCAACAATAATTTAAAAACACTGTTTTCATAATTGCACGACACTTCTTGGAATCACAAAGTTAAGATGAAGATATAAAGATTGTAAATCAACAATAATTAAAATAATAGCTGAAAGAAATCCCAATGGCCATCTAGTCCAGCGATTCTCAACCTCTTTTGACCAGGGACCACTTTGACCAGGGACTACCCTCCAACATTAACACCGAAAGGGTTACTGTGCTGTCACGCGCTGGGCCTGTGAAAGAGTCTGTAAACAGGACGTGTTTTCTGAATGCCCAACGGGATGCCGGGGGTGGCTCAGCTGAGAGGCCTTTCGGATTTCCCCACACAAAGTTCTTTTAAAGACTTAGAAAGTTCAACAAAGTTTTTATTGTTGCTTAAATCTTCAATACATCAAACAAATACTTCAAGGCTTTGAATCAACTGGTGGCTTGCTTAAATCTTGTCCACAAGGGGCAGGCAACTTTCTTCATAAACTGTTTCTTCCTTCTACAAGGGAAATCCTTGACCCCTCCCTGGGCAATCTGACTTAAGCTCTGCTGGCATGGGCCCCTACACCCGGTCCAAATTGCGTCATGGCTGCCGCGAGTGGTCCTTACCAAACAGAGTCCTTTTGTAGATTTCCAAGAGGAAAGAAGGCTTTCAAATCGCAGTGAAGGCTGGCTGTAAAGCTGTGGAACTAAATTCCCCAACAAAGGCTATGCTGTAGTTCTCTGTAGAGCTGTGGGACTGGATCCCCCCAGCAGAGCTGTAAAAGGCAAAGCTTTCTACAGGTGGAACTGATTCACGTCCTGTACGAAAGGCTTCTCTGTGTGAACTGAACTAGAGGTCCCCCTTTCCCCTCCTTAACCCAGAAAAAGGGGTAGAACTAAAGAACATAATGATAATTGATGGGTCATTGGCCCTATGATTGCAAACCAAGGGAAGCCACCTTATTGCAAAATGCATGGAACTTTGGAATACATGCAAACACTCAATAGATAGGAGAAGAAGTTGGGAGTTCCTGGTACAACCGTATCAGCACAGTTACGAAACAGTTTTTAGTAAACTATAGATTCAGTTTGGTTATTTGGGGTGCTGATTCAGAAAATTACACTGGATAGACCACATCAGCTCTAGTTTCTGATGCAGGACATATGCCATCCAGTGGTTGCCATCTACTCACCCACTGAAAACCATATTGAATCATCTAGAGCTAATGTGGTAGTAGTAATCTTTCGTGCGTAGTCAGCTTCTCCCGCCCAGCATCCCCATTGCCTTGGCACTATAAGTGGGTTTTGCGAGACCAGTCATCCTTGTTGCCACGTGGTTTTGACGCAACGGTATAGTAATGGTGAGGCTGCGGCCCATATTTTTGTTCTTGCGGACCACTGGTTGTGCATGGACCACAGGTTGGGAACCACTGATCTAGCCTAACCCTATCTAATCCAGGAAGATCAATGGATGGTCATCCAGCTTCTGCTTTAAAAACCCCAGAGAAGGAAACTCCGGTATGCTTCTAGAATATAGCCCGAAAAACCTACAACAACCCCGTGATTCCAGCAATGAAAGCCTTTGACAATAAACTCCAGTATGCAACCAGCTCCTGCCATCTAGACGTTCTTCGTAATGTTCAGGTGGAATTTCTTTTCCTGCAATTTGAACCCATTGCTCCAAAATGAGAGGAGGGAAAACAGTCCACAGTCCAAGCAGAGACAAGAGATAAACCAGTTTCAACAAAGGGAAAATTGTTTGCTGGTGGAAATTAAAATAGTGTTACTTGCAATATCTTAGCTGTACTTTGATGTTTACAACAACAACAAAAATCCACTAAAGTGTGTCAAAACTCCCAATGTAATCATGGCTATTACCATATAAGTAAGACCTGACTCAAACTGCAACTAGAATTAAGCAAGACCATAAGTAAATAATAAAACAGAATCCAAGCAATTCTTAAGGGCCACAAAGCAGATTATATAGACTGAACATGGCAAAAGAGTCATAGCAGATTGAACAAGGAAAACATCTGACACCAAGGGAAGAATAATAGAACTGGAGTGAAAAATGTTGTAAAGGAAGAATATTTGTTCTGGATTGAGGCGAACAAGTTGAGAACTCGGGGAGAATCAAAAATGAAAATACTTTTTGATGTAAGTGGGTAGATGGATGAAATAAGAATATTAAGAACGAAGGAGAAAATACAATAAGGTCTTTCACAGAAACAAATATTTAGAATACAGCAAAATCAAAAGGTTAAAAATTGAGGGGGAATATGAAGTTAGAAGAATTCAAGTTGAATAAAAAAAATAAGTTGTTTAATATGACTTGTAGTTAGGTATTAACTTAGAATATAGTTGTTTATATTATCAGAAGATGATGCAACTAAGTAGAACAGAAGTACAGGCAGTCTCTGAGTTACAAACAAGTGACTTACATACAACTCATAGTTAAGAATGGGGCGGAGTCAACAGGAAGTGAAAGGAATTTGCCCCTTTATTATGTTATTATTATGGAAAAAGGTGTCTCAGCTGAACAACAAGCCAAATGCTCAATAATCACAGGGACAGAAAGTGGGGTGAAATCATCTGAACAGGAGGCACAGACAGCAAAACAAACCTCACTGGGGTGTTAACCCCTTTCTATGCTATTGTCACAAAACTATTTGATAAATGTGAATTTGACATGATATACTGTATGGTATGAGTGGAATTGTATGGAAGATGAATGAATGAGAGTTAATAATTTTGGAGGCACCATTCTAAAAGATTAAGGCCTGCGATGACTAACTGCATGCTTGCTGGACTGTAATTAAAAGTTGCTAATGAGACCTGCCATAGTAAACTGTGATAAGAACTGTGACAGTGATAACAGAAATGTTTACAATGTTATGAAGGAAGTCAACACAAGGCTAACTCCAATCAAGAAGAATCAACATCTAGCCAAGAAACTGAGATGGAGCCAGGATGGAAGGCATCTATCATTAATTTACAACTTTGGGACAATAGCAGCAGAATATTCCTATAAAAGACTCAATCTAATAATTCTTAAGTGTGACAGACAGCAGAGCTGTTCATGTGCCTCTCTGGTCCATGGGAAGGACAGAGATGGGGTATGCCTCCTTTTCTCAAGGGAAGAGGAAGAAGTGTGATTTTGGAGTCTTGGATTTTGTGCAGGAAGTCAGGTTCTGCCGTATGGAAAACAGGGAGCTGGTCCTTGGCATTGTTCTTAGGGAACGAAGTTTTGAAGTTACAGAAGTTTTGTAACTGTGCATTGACAGGCTGCGGGGAAGCAGGACGTGGCCTAGCAGGTGCCTCTCCAAGGAGGGAGAAAAGGATATGGTAATATTTGTATGCATGAGGATGGATGAATGTTCACATGTCTCTTAAAAGCCTCCAAGGAAGGAGCTTCCACCACATTCATATATATGTATATGAAGATGTATATGGCTGGAGTTACACTTAAAAATGTACCTGTACCGATGTACATACACATTCAACTTAAGAATAACCTACAGAACTTTGTTTGTAACTTGAGAACTGCCTGTATATCATCATGTGATAGTAGCCAGTGGTTTATTGTATGACAATGTGTTTATTAACATATGTTTATTTTTAGAGGAGACTATAGAGCAGTGGTTCTCAACCTTTCCAATGCCATGACCCCTTTATATAGTTCCTCATATTATGTTGACCCTAAAATTATTTTGTTGCTACGTCATAAGTGTAATTCTGCTTCTGTTACAAATTATAATGTAAATATCTGATATGCAGGATGTATTTTCATTGTTACAAATTGAACATAATTAAAGCATAGTGATTAATCACAAAAATAGTATGTTTGGGTGACATGGCCAATAGATGATGGGATCTGTAGTACCTTCAACCGATTCAGCTCAGACTTCCACAGATCACTGAGACTCCCACAAATTAAAGACCTGGACCTTGTTTGCCAGAACTTGGCATACAGAACTCCTATGACAAACAGAAAATACTGGAGAGGCTTGGGGAAAGCAGGCCCAGACATTTGGGAGTTGTAGATGCACCTGCAATCAAAGAGCATTCTGAACAGAACCGACAATGGAATTGAACGAAACCTGGCATACTTACCTTGCTGCTTTTTCATGGCGCTTCTGAGGGACCTGCGGCCTGCAGGGATGGCACGCAGTGAGGCCACAGCCGCCTCTGGCCGCCGCCGCGGGAAAGAGCTCCCCAGCTGGGCCTAGAAAGGAGGCTGGAAGCGCCTCCTTCCTAGCTTTACCAGGGGCATCTCTGGCCTCCTTTTTAGGCCCAGACAGGGGGTGCCACTTCCCATGGCAGAGGCTGGAAAGAGCACTCCAGCTGGGCCTAAAGAGTAGGCATTAGGGAGCCAAGGGAGGAGCAGCCCCGCGCGGCCTGTGCTTGCGTGGAGCTTCACGCAAGGGTAGCCCGCGCGGGGCAGCCGCCCTTGACTGGCTCATGCTTCCCATCGGATGGCAGCGTGAACCAGCCAAGGGAGGAGCAGCACCGCGCGGTCTGTCCTCGCAAGAAGCCCCTCGGCAGGCACGGAGCTTTGCGCAAGGGTAGCCTGCGCGGGGCAGCCTCCCTTGGCTGGCTCACGCTGCCCATCGGGCTTGACGGATAGCGTGAGCCAGCCAAGGGAAGAGCACTGAGAGGGTGGCCTGAGAGGACACTGGGGGGTGGGGCTCCTCCTCCACGGGCTGGATATGTGCCCTTGGCGGGCCGGAAGTGGCCCGTGGGCCGTAGTTTGAAAACCCCTGCATTAAATGGTAGGTGTAGATAGGGTCTAAAACATCAGGGTGTGTCACACACATAAACATTCAGGCTACTATCTTACTGTCATAAGCCAGATGTGTTATTTAACATGCATATTTTGTAAATGTTAAGGCCTTGGGATCAATGAGCTAGCAATAGATGGTAAACTAAGATGACTCAAGACAACCCATCTCCAGTAGAAAGAACAGTTTGGGTGATTGTAATTGTAAGTGGGATAATGCAAGATAAACAAACTTAAGAACCTAGAAAACTAGAGGAAGGCCAAGAAGAAGTCATTGGCAAAAATGCCCCAAGTCAGACAGGGAGCTGAATCGAGAATCATGGCTCCCACAAAATGGACAAAATAAGGAAAAAGGCAGCTTCCTTTCTTTTTTGCAATAGTTATATGACACTTGTTATTTCAAGCCCCTCAGTATAAAAACCCAGCAGTTCTCATCTTTCCATACCCTATCCTTATTCATTCTTAACAACTCATCACTGAGTAAACATTTGTCTTCTGTCCAACAGGCGCAAAAGTTGCTGAAGTTGGGCTTGGAGAGTCAGCTCCTTCTGTCCGCCCACCATGGTGACAGAACAGGAAATCGAGCAAATTGGGCAGGTGCTGGCGGACCCCTCGCTGCCACTAACAGCCCGCTTCCGGGCACTGTTCACCCTCCGCAACGTGGGAGGCCCCGCAGCCATTGAATGGATCGGCAAGGCTTTTGCGGATGATTCTGCGCTCCTCAAGCACGAGCTGGCCTATTGCCTAGGGCAGATGCAAGACGAGCGGGCCCTCCCCATCCTCATCGCCGTCCTCCAAGATCAGCGCCAAGAAGCCATGGTCCGCCACGAAGCCGGGGAGGCATTGGGAGCTATTGGGAACCCCAAAGTCCTGGACATCTTAAAGCAGTATTCCGACGATCCCGTAATTGAGGTCGCGGAGACGTGTCAGTTGGCGGTAAAGCGGATGGAGTGGTTGCAGGCATACAGAGGCGGGCCCGTTGCGGGGCCGTACCTCTCTGTGGACCCGGCGCCCCCATCCGAGGAGGCCGATGTGGGGAAACTGAAGCAGGTGCTGCTGGAGGAGTCACGGCCGCTGTTTGAGCGCTACCGGGCCATGTTTGCACTCCGCAATCTGGGAGGAGAAACCGCCGTCTTGGCCTTGGCGGAAGGCCTCCGGTGCGGGAGTGCCCTCTTCCGCCATGAAGTTGCCTACGTCCTAGGACAGTTGCAGCATGATGCAGCTGTCCCGCAGCTTATGGCCTCTTTGGAGAGCCCCACCGAGAGCCCCATGGTGCGCCACGAGTGTGCCGAGGCCCTGGGCGCCATCGCCAAGGCCTCCTGCCTGGTTGCCTTGCGGGACCACACCAGGGATGCCGAGCAGGTGGTGCGCGAGAGCTGCGAGGTGGCGCTGGACATGTACGAGCATGAAAACAACGCCCATGAGTTCCAGTACGCCAACACACTTGGCCAGCTCAAAGCCTCGGACTGAGCACTGGTTCCGCCCCCATCTTTCCACACCTTTTAAAACATCCTATTGTTGGGATGACGTGTCACTACTTCAGTCCCATTTACCTTTCATGTGTGACGATGTGGGGGGAAATATTTTTCTTTTTAATCTTTTTACTGCCTTGTACTGAAACAGTTTCCCTTGGCTTTCTTGTGAGTTTTTACTTTGAGGCTTTATATCACAGGCTGGAGACACTTGTAGTAAACAAAGTAACAGAGTTTATAGCTTCTGGCTCCAACGCTTATGGTTACATCTGTGTGTTCTGTTACAGTCTTGAAATCTTACATTCAATATCATTCACTTGGTTAACTTTTCCTATCAAACTTCAACTGTTTTGAATCATACACTTTTGTCAGAACTATATTTTGCCTTAAACAACACTGGCACTTCTTTATTTTCCTTAAAACTTAAGCTCCATTTTCCTAACTGCTTTTCCCTCACAGAAGTTCCTAACTGTACCTCACAAACAGGAATCCCTAACTAACCTCACAAACAGGAATTCTTAACTCACTCTTCTGATTTTCTAACTGCCTATTTTTAAACTTAACTCCGCCCCTTTGGAATGTTCAGCTCTCTTCTCTCAACTGCCATTCTGACTCAGTGGCCTTTTCAAATCCTGGCCTGCACTCATCTGCATACGACCAATCGGCTGCACATATGCAAATTAATCTTGCCTCTACTGTTGCTACCCTATTTATGCCAATTCAGCCACCTTGCAACATAGAGCTATACATCAAAATTTTAACATAGATCAACAAATTTGCCTCATATTCTCTTTTAAGTTATTGCCTTTCTCTCGGTGAAGGGGCCTGGTGGCATTGAGGGTCCAAGAACTCCATTTTGGTAATGGTAGCCATTTAAAATAAAACTTTTGTAGAGTTTGGCAACATCCCTTTTATGGACTTTTATGGTGGGCTTCCAAGTATTGTAGCCCAGTCTGGTCACTTTTGCGGACTCTCGGGGGAAAGCCCATTGCCTTTCTGTAAGAAAACGGGAAAATTCCGAATGCGATCATGGGCTTTGGGAACAATATCTCAATAGCTGGCAATGGGAAAATGCATCTATATGCTGCTATGGGCAAGTAGTAACTTCAGGAGCAATATCTCAATCCATGGCAGTGGGGAATTTCATTTGTATGCCACTATGGGGAAATAAAAGCTTAAGGTGCAATATGTCCACCGTCTTCAATGAGTAATTTCATCTATATTTTGCTATGGACAAGTAGTAACCTCAGGGGTAATATCTCAATAGCTGCCAATGGGAGTTTCATCTATATTCCGCTATGGATGAATACTAGCAATATGTCAAGAGCTTCTCCTTGCAAATGCGTACAGTTTACAAAGCTTGCTCAGCTACTCATTCTTCCAGGAGGAGATTATTTTGCCGAAAACTGTTTTCTTTGTTAAGCAAGGAAAGAAAGCAATGAGGAAAAATAAAAACCATTTCCCAATCTTTTTTAAAAGAGTAAACATTTGTGTCATAATGCCAGGGCTCTGCTGGTACGCAGGCAGAGGAGAACCAAAACAAACACCCAGCTTGTGTCAGACGTCGAGAGTTCAATGATTAAAGTCCAAACACATATACACACACATACACACACACAAAGCACATATACACAGACTGGGCCATAGCAACGCCTTGCAGGAGACGGCTAGTCTATATCACTAAAAATGACATGTTTGTTTGTGGGATTAACATAACTCAAAAACCACTGGACAAATAGAAACCAAATTTGGACACAAGACACTTCTCAGGCCAACGAGTGACCATCACTCATAAAAACACTGAAAATCACAGCAGGAGAGACTTGATAAGTCAGGATTTTTTTAAAACTACATTACAATGCTTGTGCATAACCACATATATACACATATACACAAAAAAATATACACACATACAAATATATACACACAAAACACATATACACAGACTGGGCCACAGCAACGCGTGGCAAGGGACAGCTAGTATATATAATTAAAAATGTCATGTTTGTTTGTGGGATTAACATAACTCAAAAACCACTGGAAGAATGGACACCAAATTTGGACACTATACCCCTAATAGACCAACAAGTGACCATCACTCATAACACTCCCCCCCCCTAAAAAACAGCGAAAAGGACTTAAAAACTCAAAAAAGCTAAATGACGAAAAGCTAAAGAGAAGGAAGGGGGGAAGGGGAGAAAGAAAAAGAAAGAAAGAAAGATGGAAGCAAAGAGCAAAGGAAGGAAAGAAAGAGGCAGAGAAGGAAGGAAGGAGTGGAAGAGCAAAGGAAAAGAAAAAGGGGAAGGAAGAAGGTAGAGGAGGGAGGAAGGAGAGAAGGAAAGAAAAAGGGAAGGAGAAAGAGGGAGAGGAAGGAGAAAGGAAGAGAGAAAGAGGGAGGGAAGGAAAGAAGAAAGAAAAAGAAGGATGGAAGCAAAAGGCGAAGGATGGAAGGAAAGAGGTAGAGAAGAAAGAAAGAGAAAGAGGTAGGGAAGGAAAGACGGAAAGAGAGAAGGGAGGATGGAAGCAAAAGGTGAACGATGGAAGGAAAGAGGTAGAGAAGGAAGAAAGGAGAGAAAGAGCAAGGAAAAGGGGGAAGAAGAAAGAGGTAGAGAAAAGGAAGGAGAGAAGGAAAGAAAAAAGGAAAGGAAGGAAAGAGGGAGGAAGGAAGGAAGGAGAAGAGAGAGGGAGGAAGGAAAGAAGAAGGAAGGATGGAAGCAAAAAAGCAAAGGAAGGAAGAGGTAGAGAAGGAAGAAGAGAGAAAGAGGAAGGAAAAGAAAAAGGAGGAAGAAGAAAAAAGGTAAGAAGGAAGGAAGGAGAAAAAAAAAGAAAAGGGAAGGAAAGAAGAAGGGAGCAAAAGAAGGAGAGAAAGGGAGGGAAGGTTGGCCATAGCAATGTATGGCGGGTATAGTTAGTCTATATAAATAAATATGTAATGTTCATGTGTGGCATTAACATAACTCAGAAACCACTGGATGAATTGCCACCAAATTTGGCCACAAGACACCTACTAACCCAAGGAGTGACGATCACTCAAAAAATGATTTTGTCATTTGGGAGTTGTAGTTGCTGGGATTTATAGTTTACTTACAATCAAAAAGCATTCTGAACTCCCCCAATGATGGAATTGAACCAAATGTGGCATACAGGACTCCCATGACCAACAGAAAACACTAGAAGGGTTTGGTGGGCATTGACCTTGAGTTTGGGAGTTGTAGTTCACCTACATCCAGAGAGCACTTTGGACTCAAACAATGATGGATCTGGACCAAACTTGGCACGAATATTCCATATGCCCAAATACGAACACAGATGGGAGTTTGGAGGAAATAGGCCTTGACATATGGGAGTTGTAGTTACTGGGATTTATAGTTCACCTACAATCAAAGAGCATTCTGAACCCCACCAACGATAGAATTGGGGCAAACTTCTCACACAGACCCCGCAAGACCAAGAGAAAAGGCCACCCAGTCCAACTCCCTTCACAAGGGCAAGAAAATCTAATCAAAGCCCTCCTGACAAAGAGCCATCCAGCCATAGATATACAGATAGATATGATTCACACACAGAGAGAGATATCGTATCATAGGGTTGTTGTAGGGTTTTTTGGGCTATATGGCCATGTTCTAGAGCAGTGGTTCTCAACCTGGGGTCCCCAGATGTTTTGGCCTACAAATCCAGAAATTCTAACAGCTGGTAAACTGGCTGGGATTTCTGGGAGTTGTAGGCCAAAAACATCTGGGGACCCCAGGTTGAGAACCACTGTTCTAGAGGCATTTCTCCTGACGTTTCGCCTGCATCTATGGCAAGCATCCTCAGAGGTATCGTATCATAGGTTTGAAAGGGACCCCTGAAGAAGGACAATGATATGTTGCATGTTCCAGAGTAGGCAAACCAGACACTCTCCATATCAACACATTCCCCCCTCCCTCCTCATTCCTCCCCCCTCCCTTTCTGGGGAGTGGGCCTGGCTCTTGCTCCGCCTTCCTCCCCACCCGCCTGATTTGCTCCTCAGAAAGATGTGGGTGTTTGGGGGCAAGCAGAAGAAGAAAGAGGGGGGCATCGGAGGGGAGGGGGGACTCATGCACCCCCTCTTCCCCATTCCCCCCTCCCTCTCAGGCCTGATACACAACAATGCACCCATCTGCTTGCTCTCCCACTATTCTCTCTAAAGAGAACCTCTGGAGGGGGTTTCTCTATGGGAAGGAAGAGGGGGATACATTGTCTCCACATAAGGGGGTGTTTCCCTCCCTCCTCATTTTTCCCTACTAAATTCCCCCTCCCTCTTCTCCCTGGCCATCTCAAGGGGGGAGTCTTTGTAGCAGAGCATGGCTTTGTAAGGGAGAGACCCCTCCTTCCCTCTTTCTTTGCTACCCCCACCCTCTGTTTTTTCCCTGCTTCCATTCAGCTTCTCTCTGGTTTCAGGGTTTCCTGAAATGGGAGAGAGACCCCTGAGAGCAGTGGTTCTCAACCTTCCTAATGCCGTGACCCCTTAATACAGTCCCTCATATTGTGGTGACCCCCAACCATAACATTGTTTTCATTGCTGCTTCATAACAGTCATTCTCCTACTGTTGTAAATCATAATGTAAATATCAGATATGCAGGATGCATTTTCATTCACTGGACCAAACTGGGCACAAATACCCAATGCACCCAAATGTGAATGGTAGTGGGGTTGGGAGAGGACTGATTTTGTAATTTGGAAGTTGTAGTATCTGGGATTTATAGTTCACTTATAATCAAAGAGCATTCTGAACTCCACCAGCGATGGATTTGAACCAAACTTGGCTCCCATGACCAATGGAAAACACTGGAAGGGTTTGATGGGCATTGACCTTGAGTTTGGGAGTTGTAGTTCACCTATATCCAGAGAGCACTGTGGACTCATGCAATGGTGGATCTGGACCAAACTTGGCACAAATACGCAATATGCCCAAATGTGAACACTGGTGGAGTTTGGGGAGAATAGACCTTGACATTTGGGAGTTGTCGTTGCTGGGATTTATAGTTCATTACAATCAAAGAACATTCTGAACTCCACCAATGATAGAATTGGCTCAAACTTCCCACATGGAATCCCCATGACCATCAGAAAATACTGTGTTTTCTTATGGTCTTTGGTGACCCCTCTGACACCCCCTCGCGACCCCCTCAGGGGTCCCGACCCCCAGGTTGAGAAACACTGCTCTAGAGAGCAGGGGGGGAAGGAAAGAAGGAAGGAAGGAAGGAAGGAAGGAAGGAAGGAAGGAAGGAAGGAAGGGGAAGGACACCACCATAGAATCCTAGAGTTGGAAGAGACCTCGTGGGCCATCCAGTCCAACCCTTTTCTTACCTAGGCGGCCCTAGGTAATTTTCAAAGCTAAGGAAACAGTATTTTGGCACCTGCCCCCCCCCCCACCCAACCCCCCCCCCCCCCCCCGCACCGCCCCTGTCAACCCCCCCCCCCCCCCCCCCCCCCCCCACCCCCCCCCCCCCCCCCCCCCCCGCCGCCCACACCCCCCCCACGCCCCCCCCCACCCCCCCCCCCCCCCCCCCCCCCCCCCCCCCCCCCCCGCCCCCCCCCCCCGCCCCCCCCCACCCCCCCTCCCCCCCCCCCCCCCCCCCCCCCCCCCCCCCCCCCCCCCCCCCCCCCCGCCCCCCCCCCCCCCCCCCCCCCCCCCCCCCGCCCCCCCCCCCCTCGCCCCCCCCCCCCCCCCCCCCCCCCCCCCCCCCCCCCCCCCCCCCCCCCCCCCCCCCCCCCCACCCCCCCCCCCCCCCCCCCCCCCCCCCCCCCCCCCCCCCCCCCCCCCCCCCCCCCCCCCCCCCCCCCCCCCCCCCCCCCCCCCCCCCCACCACCCCCCCCTCCCCCCCCCCCCCCCCCCCCCCCCACCCCCCCCCCCCCACCACCCCCCCCCCCCCCCCACTCCCCCATGCAGGCAGAGGCGGCCCTAGGTAATTTTCAATGGTAAGCAAACAGTATTTTGGCCCCCCCCCCCCAACCAATCATTGATATATATTTTCTGTTGTCGTGGGAGTTCTGTGTGCCATATTTGGTTCAATTCCATCATTGGTGGAGTTCAGAATGCTCTTTGATTGTAGGTGAACTATACATCCCAGTAACTACACTTGCCGCACTTGCTCCCTTGCCTGGCCCGCTTTGGGTCCGGAGGCGTGCCTGAAGACCCCGGCGTGTGCACCAAAAGTCACCTCT